CACTCAAGGGTTCCTGCCGTGAAACAACACTTGGTCTTACACGCGTCAATTAAACGCTCTATTGAGTATGAGGCCAAGTAAAAAATAATACCACTTAAATGTCAACGGCGAGGTTGGTTGGTTTGTTAACCTTCTGATTTAGAGATCATCGTCGTGCGATACTAACTTCTTCGGTAGATCTCTATAGTAAAGGGAGGTAACTTAGTTGCAGCTGCCCATTTCCATTCAAAGTCAAAGTAGCGGTGGGACGTTGTGAACCTTAACATAAAATTTAATTAGTATAAAAAGGTTTAGTTTAATCCCAAAACATAAGAATGACAAGGTACTAATTAGCTAATAAATTAAGGATATATTAATTAGAAAGCAAGGTGCTGAATTTTTACTGTAACTTTATTAATCAGAAAAGCAAAATTCGTATTTTTAACGCAATTTTATTAAGCAAAGCTCAGATTTTGCTGATGCAAATTTATTCTGTTTGAAACGAAGCTCAAATTTTTTATGCAACTTTATTCAGCGTGAAACTAAGCTCAATTTTTTCATGCAACTTTATTAAGCATAAAACGAAAGATAAATTTTTAACACAACTTTTAACGCAATGAATCTCATTTTTTAACGCAACTTTTTTAACCATAATATATATATATATATATATATATATATATATATATATATATATATAGGGCGGTATTTAAATTAGCTTCTGCGGGGGGGGGGCTCTTGATTGAGCCTTCGTCGCAATTGGTACCGAAGAATAGATGCGATAGTCAACAATAAATAATAGAAAAACTCACTGCATTTAACTATTGCATTAATATTTAAGCTGACCTTTTAAAAGTTCAACAATGATTCTTCCGTTGCCACATAATTAAAAGACAATTTGATGTACGTAGTTCATTACTTTTTATTTCATTGGTGACTTTTACAATTATTGAACTCACACTCTTGGGTCCTGTCACTAGATCTAACCAACGCCTTTATACACTGTGCCATGTTTCCTCAAGGACACATGGCACAGTGGATAAAAGCATTCAATACACGGTTAAGGCAGTGGAGAACTTTCAGAGGGAAATTAACAGGAGATAACTGATAACTGACATCCATTAAAATGGCACGTGGAACTAGAACAGTCTACCCCAGTGCTCGAAATAAAGGGTTCAGTTCGACATTCCAACCACCTGAAGAAGGCCGGAGTGTACAACGGCCTAAACGTTCTAATAAATATGGCGACAAAGACGAGGACAATAGTCCGAATAATATACATAGTACCTCATCTCAGAAATATAGACAGACTTTGAACGAATGTCTTGAGAAAGTCCTGCCTTTTCTGTTTTTACTTGAGCACTTTATTTAATCAATGTTCCACGACGTTCAGCAGAGTTTCGTTACTCTTTAATCGGTATATATTGGCATCAGCTTGGCTACAGGATCATCTGGGAAGTAAATTCAAATTTGGCATTCAGTCGTCTCAAGAGGATTTAAATTTGGTTTTGAATTTAGATTCTTTCTCTTAGACTGGTTTACAACCAAGTCAATAGATGTACTATTTTACCTATAGAGAGAAGAACAACAAATAAATTCATTTTTTAAGAGTTTGTATGGAGAAAACACAAACTAGCTCAGCCGAAATTTGAACTCGGCTCTTCTATTCCATTTTCTCTGATGGTAACTGTTAGGCAACTCACAACTATTAATATATAATTAAAAACCCGCTGAATCAATGCATTCATTTTAATTTGCCGTCCTGGGTATGGCGATAAACTACATCCGCGTCCTGGGTAAGACGATAAACTACGTCCAACAGGAAGGCCTCTGTTCAGGAGGTTTTGAGGGGCGTGGAACCACCTTTTAATATCTGGTATTCCCAGGTCCGCCCTGACCCGGGGTGGTAGCACCTGTCAGGATCCAAGCTATGGGCAAATAGTTTACTCCCACCCAAACTGAGGGCAAAACGTGCGAAAAAAGGTTTTAATACATTTTAAAACATTTTGAAAAAACAAATGTTACCAGAAGAACATTTTTGAAAAAGCGAATATTAACAGAATATATATATATATATATATATATATATATATATATATATATATATATATATATATATATATATATATATATATATATATATATATATATTACCAACTATGCATATTTGAAGGAAAATTATTACCATAAATACATTTTGAAGAAGAAAAAAAATATTACCAGAAATAATTTTTTGGAAGGAAAATATATTACCAGAAATAGATTTTTCAAAAAAAAAAATATATTACCAACAAAAACAATTTTGTCGGCATGAAATCACCCATTGAGGTTGATATGCCATAAAACAAAACAAACCAAACCAAACTTAGAGATTTGAATGAGATTTCCTAAAAAAAAAGAGAAGGAATTTCGAGTTATTTCATCCAGACAGCATTCGTTTGTGTGAAAGGCTTTACTTTTTAAAATGTCTTAGGTATGTCAATGTAAGTGTTTGTAAATTACCAGTCATCTGAAGACCATTAGATCAATGCAGGGATCGCCAGGGTACTCTCTTCTGTTCTAGCCTTTTTCCGCTTTTTGTAATATTAACGATTCATCTAGGAAGATTCTCAGATCATTAGTAAATATATGTACAGATGATACCACAGTTTAGTGAAGCACCTCCAAAAATCAACATTTTCAAAGGCTTACAGCTGATATCTCTTCTGTTTTGGCACGGCTCAATGTGGAAAAAATGGATTGTAACTTTCAGTAAATATAAATTATTTAGAGTAATGACTGAGAGATGATAAATAATACGAAATCCCCCCCAAAAAGGATGGATTTACGCAGTTATTTACTCGTTCCGCCACTAGAACAAGATGTGACACAAGGTCGGTTTAATGTGGGGGACCCGAAGCGTGTACGCCCGCAGGTTCCCCAGGGGGACAAAAATTTTCCCTCAGTTTCCCTCTGTCCCCTCAGCCCCCACGCAACCGCCGGTTGCAACTGAAAGATGATAATAATGGCCTCAAAGGAGGGATTTGCGAGCACCAAGATCCCTCCAAGGTCGGTTTGTGCAATGGGAGGGCGCGGCCTCAGGCAGCTGTTCCCCAGGGCTGGGCACCTCTTCAGTATAATTTTCCTCAGTTTCCCCTCTGTCCTTTGACGAAATCCCCAAAAAAACTCGTTCCCCCCCTAGAACAAGAGCGCACTCTGTCCAAGGACAGGTAGGGACAAAAATTGCCCTCAGCCCCCGCAAACTGAAAGATGATAAATCGGGCAGCTGTACGACTTTTCCTCAGTTGCCCCCCAAAGGAGCGGATTTCCAAGGACAGACGCAACCAGAGATGATAAATAATACGAAAACCCCCAAAGGAGGGATTTATTACTCGTTCCCCACTAGAACAAGATGTGCCCACGCAGGTCGGTTTAATGAGCACCGGCCTCCCCCAATGGGAGGGCGCGGCCTCGGGCAGGTAGGGCTGGGACAAAATTACCCTCAGGCCCCGCAAACCGCCGGTTACGCAGGTATTTCTCGTTGGCCTAGAACAGTGCAAGTCACCCTGGAGCGCGTACCCTGGCAGGGATCCCTCCCTCATGCAATCCCTCTTGTGCAATGGGGGCGCGGCCTCAGGCAGCTGTTCCCCAGGGCTGGGCACCTCTTCAGTATAATTTTCCTCAGTTGCCCCTCTGTCCTTTGACAAAGAAGCCCCTGAGCGCACTCTGTCCAGGACAGAGACGCAACTGAAAGATGATAAATAATACGCAAAATCCCCCAAAGGAGTCGGATTTACGCAGAGCAATTACTCGTTCCCCACTAGAACAAGATGTGACACAAGGTCAGTTTAGGGTGGGCACCCAGAGCGCGTCCTTTGACACCCGGGTAGGGGACAAAAATTGCCCTCAGCCCCAAAGGAGCAACCGTCAGGTATTTGCGCTGGCCTCAGTGCGAGCACCGATGCCTCCCTCTTGTGCAATGGGAGGCGCGGCCTCAGTTGTGCAATGGGAGGCAGCTGTTCCCCAGGGCTGGGCACCTCTTCAGTATAATTTTCCTCAGTTGCCCCTCTGTCATTTGACAGAGAAGCCCCTGAGCGCACTCTGTCCAAGGACAGAGACGCAACTGAGAGATGATAAATAATACGAAATCCCCCAAAGGAGGGATTTACGCAGGTATTTACTCGTTCCCCCACTAGAACAAGATGTGACACAAACCCAGGTAAGGGCCAGGGGCCCAAGCAAACTGTCGGTTGGTTTAATGTGGGCGGCCTTGAGCGCGTTGCCCCTCTGTCATTACACTGAGCGCACTCTGTCAAGGACCTGAGAGGGTCCCCAAAGGGACAAAAATGACACAAGGTGCCCTCAGGGCCCCGTCGCAACCGTCGGTTGCGCTGGCCTCAGAGACGCAACTGAGAGCGAGCACCGATCCCTCCCTCTTGTGCAATGGGAGGGCGCGGCCTCTGGGGCAGCTGTTCCCCAGGGCTGGGCACCTCTTCAGTATAATTTCAGTTGCAACCCCAGGCTGTCCTCGGTGCGAGCACCATCCCACCCTCGGTTGTGCAATGGGGGGGCTGAAGGCAGTGGTTCCCCAGGGCAGGGCTGGGCACCTCTTCAGTATAATTTTCTCAGTTGCCCCTCTGTCCTTTGACAGAAGCCCCTGAGCGCACTCTGTCCAGGACAGAGACGCCTGAGAGATGATAAGAAAATGCGAAATCCCCCCAAAGGAGGGATTTACGCAGTAAGTGCTCACTATCTGTATTATATATTATTTACTTCTAGGCAATATCTCTCTTCAGGTTTAACTAATTTGCGTATTTGTATTTAAAAAAGTTTATTTCATTAATTAACTGTCCTTCATTAATGTTCTTTTATTCGAGGAATGTTTTGATATTCATATAAAAATAGTTCTCTTTAGGAATATAGTCTTATATAGTACAGAAAGTATTTGAAATTTGCATTTTGCTTGTCTTTCAACAAGTTGGAATCTATTTGTAAACATTTCTTAACAAGCCAATTCATGAATGAAATGTTCATTTAGAATTTTAATTTCGAAGCGATGGCGAGCGGGTGAAGCCTGCTAGTAAATGAATAAAAGAAAGGAAGTCAACGAGGAATAAATAAATGAATAAAGGAAGGAAATAAAGAAAGAAAGAAAGGAAATGAAGAAAAAATAAAGGAAAGAAAAAAGAAAGGCAATGAGAAATAAATGAATAAAAGAAAGAAACAAACAAAGAAAGGTAGTGGGAAAGAAGGAAGATAGGGAATGGGGAAAAAGAAAGAAAGAAAAAAAGAAAGGCAAACAAAGATGGATAGAAAGGAAGGAAATGGGATAGATAGAAAGAAAGAAAGAAAGAAAGAAAGAAAGTCAACGAGGAATAAATAATTGAATAAAGGAAAGAAAGAAAGAAAGGAAATGAGGAATAAATAAAGGAAAGAAAGAAACAAAGAAAGGTAGTGGGAAAGAAAGAAGATAGGGAACGGGGAAAAAGAAAGAAAGACATAAAGAAAGAAGGATAGAAAGGAAGGGAATGGGAAAGAAAGAAAGAAAGAAAGAAAGAAAGAAAGAAAAACGTCTCATTAAGCCGATTTGAGACAAAAGGGAAAGAATCACTCTGAATCGATGGAAGAAATGAGACGAAAAACGAACGAATGAAAGAAAAAAAAAAGAAAATATAAAGAAAAGAAGAAATCTCATTAAAATGATGCGAAACTAAAGGAAGAATCACTGAAGAAAGAACGAAAGAACAAACGAAGACAGAAACTAATTAAATATCTACGAAAATCAAACGACAGCACGAGGAAGGAACGTAGAAAATAGCCGATAAATTTGAGTCTATTGTTGATTCATGAAGCGACACGAACAAGTATCAGGTGGGTCCCGCAGGTGTTCGCCAATGATAAACAAGGAACACTAACCAATATGTGCCCAGTGACCCTTTCCTTCAATCACACCCTTGTCTTTTCAAGCGGTTACCCCAGGGTTCCTCCTCGTTAAAAAAAATAAAAATAACAAGACAGTGTCATATCCTAATGAACCTCTTGATGTGCTGGGGTTGGTGACAACATCGCGATGTTCACCCGTAGAGCGAAGCTCTCGTGTTCATTGAAAAAGAACCAATAGCGGCAAAGAGATAAAAAGGAAAAAAAAAACTGATAATAAGGAGCCGCGTTTTGGCAGAATGGGGAGATCAAAGGTCAAATGCGTTTGTGCATCGTCGTTTCGAAGGCTTCTTAATAGAAATTTGCTCTCGCTGGTAATTTTAGTAGAACCATATTTAACTTACTGGTTTAGAGTTGTTGATTTTTCTGTCTGACTTTTTTTTTTTTAAACGAGTTCACCCCAAGCAAGGCAGTAAAGCCACCAAGACGCAACGGGTTACTGAGTGTGGAAGAGTTAGAATCGAAACATTGGAAGGGCTATCAGAAGTGTTGCAGTTTTTTGTGTGTATATATATATATATATATATATATATATATATATATATATGTACTAGTGAGTTAGCCCAAATGACTTGGCTCACTTTATAGTCCACCAATAGGAGCGTTAACCAATCAAAAGACGTAAAATATTCAATCCGTCGTGTAAAAAGGCGGCCATTTTGTCTACTCTACCCGAATGTCCAGTGCCAACTTGTCAGGCGATAGAACAGAAGGAAGAACTACTTAACTACGCTCTGCTACTTTACCGGGGTATCCACTGCTTACCTGAAATACGCTTCCCTATTGTCTTCGAAATATTCACTGCTAACCTCTGGATTCTATACTCAAAGACGACCGTCATCATGAACAACAAATAGCAGGGCAGACCGGGTTCTATAGCCTTGGAAGTCAACTGGTCTACCGCAGAAAGAAATGGCAACTTACTGCAGGGGGGAAAAATCTGCCTTGTCAGTCATGTATCACGCATGGCACATAACTGACTGATTGTGGAGAATGTTTGATAGGCCAAGTGTTCATGAACAACAAGAAGTACAGCAGATCATGATTGACATTACATTTAAATTTTTACAGATTAAAGTCGGCTGTAAACATGGAACGGAAAGGAGTTCCACAAGCGAGGACTTGAGAAAAGAATCTGTTAGCATATAGTTTACGGTTACATCTAGCCAGCTCAACTGTAAATTGGTGAGACCCAGTCACCATTCTAATCGTCTTACTTTATGTGTCGTGTTCCTTCGGGACGTAGGCGATCATGGCTCTACACTTCCCCCTATCCCTTGTAGCTCTCAATATGCTTTGGTCTTTTGCTACTTATCCCAGATCTTGTTCTGTGCTCAACTTGCTTAAGCCTGATAGGTATGTTACGCGTTGCTTTCGTCTGTCTCTCTTTCCCTCTATCCGCCCCGTGAGTATCAAATTTTTCAAGCCCTCCTTTCTCATTACGTGTCCCAGAAATTTAAGCTGACTTTTCCTGATGTTAAGTATAAAGTTGGCTGTAAACATGGAATAGAAAGAAGTTCCACAAGCGAGGACTCGAGAAAAGAATCTGTTAGCATGTAGTTTACGGTTACATCTAGCCAGCTCAACAGTAAATTGCGTCTTTGGCCATCTTAATGCGTCTTCGGACTTACCGTAAGAACACTTTCTAGTATAAGCTTCCTCCTTGTTTGCATCCTCTCCAAAACCTCATCGTTGCTCACATGTTCGTCCATGGTATCCTTAGCATCCTTCTCTAGAACCATACGTCCGTTGCCTCGAGTCTCTTCTTCATCTTTGAGGAGACCGTCCAACATTCACTTCCGTAAAGGAGGACAGATATCACGTAGCAGTTAAAATACTCTTTTCTTTATTACCAACGAAATCCTCCTGTCTCGTAATACTCTGCCTAGCTTTTGGAATGCGTCTTTGGCCATCTCAATACGTCTTCGGAATTACCGTCCTCTGTCAGAACACTATCTAGATATTTAAATTTCCGCACCTACTCGATTTTTTCGTCTCCGACCTGTAAATCGCATTTCGTTACCAAAAGGTTATTCAAGGCTACCAAGCATTTCCAACAGATATTTGTGGGGTACTTTGTCGAACCCCTTTGCGTAGTCTATAAAACATAGGTGCACGTCCTTCTGCTTTTGTATTACTCTTTCTGATAACATTGTAAGCATGAATATCGCGTTCCTTGTTCCGATGTCTTTAACGAACCAAAACTGTTCGTGTCCTACTTCTGGTCTGATTCTGCTGCGCGCTCTATTCATCAGAATACGGATGATGAGTTTTGTTATGTGGCTCATTAGGCTGATTGTTCGGTGGAGTAAAATTCGAAGGGTCTAGGCCTCATAGAGAAGAGCTCATCTGAACAATTACTTTGAAAGTATTTATAGAAAAGGCACCCTTACGGCGGTGAGAAATTGACTGAAGCTGAGACGTCAGATCGGGACCTATAATATTGCTGATTCTTTGGATCTTATCAAGGAGCTCTAGATAGATAGCAGAAGCACGAGACCATATGTGACAGCAATAGTCTACGCATAGATGAATATACTTTTTTTTTCTAGAAAAATACCAGAATTCCAATCCGTGGTGTGTATTTTGTAAGAAGAATGGTATTCATGAAGTATGACTTAACGGAAAATGTGCAGAGATAGAGAGAATGTGTATCATAGATAAAGGAGAAATGCATAAAAAATAAGAGAACTAAGAATAAAAAATCCAGAAACTGAAGAAAACCAACGCAGCATCCAAATTGCAATACAACAGACTCCTGAACGACTAGACCCTGAAGGAAAAATATATGGACAGTGGGAAAAGAAGATACGAGGGACAAAATGCAAATTCGAAGTGGGGCAGCCTAAGCTTTAGTGACGTCAATAACCATAAGAAAATGGACGAAGAAGAAAAAACGAATGGATCACAAATGATGGGAAGGAGACAGAAAACAATGTCAAAACACAGAATTGAATACAGAAAAGAAATAAGGAAGAAATGTAAACAGGCTAAGGAAGAATGTATCAACGAAAAATGTACGGAAATAGAAAGAATGAATATCACAGATAAAGGAGATATGAATAAGAAAAAACTAAGGAGACTAACAGGACAGAAGACATGTTCATCAACAGCTTGCATAAAATTCAAGAACGGAACGATCTTATTAGGGAAGGAAAAATATTCAGCGCAATATATTAGAGAACTCTTTCACGACGAAAGTGAACAACCGGAAATACACAGTAATATCGACGGGCCGGAAATAATAAAAACCAAAGTGGAAGCTGCATTGGCCAAATTGAACAGAAACATGGCGGCAGGTCCAGACGGAATTGTAATAGAGATGCTGACAGCCTTAGATGATTTCTACAGAAAGACGACAGAAATAATAAATCTACAACAGCGGTGACATACCGGAAGATCTAAGCAGATCCATTTTCATAGCACTACTTAAGAAACCAGGCGCAAACAAATGTGAACTCTACCGAATAATCAGCCTAATGAGCCACATAAGAAAACTCATCAACCGAATTCTGATGAATAGAACGCGCAGCAGAATCAGGCCAGAGATAGGACCAGAACAGTGCGGGTTCGTAAAAGACACCGGAACAGGGAAGGCAATACTTATGTTTAGAATGTTATCAGAAAGGGCAATACAAAAGCAGAAGATTTTTAAGATTAGTTGGTAGTTATAAATCATATAAAAAGCGTTCGCTTTACATTCCACAAGTAAATTTTACAGGTATGACCACCGTAGAAATACATTAGATAAACATCTGTCTGTCATTCAAACTGTCAATACCTAAAATAAACAGCTACTGCCGTGCTAAAAATGCATCTCTGTGATATTTTAAACTTAAAGTAATATGTGTTTTTAAATCAGATTAATTAAACTTTAAATCAGCTGATATTCCTCAAATAAAGCTTCAGAAAAGTATATTTTATTTTTGAATGATTTTTACAGTACAATGGCAAATGGCTAAAAATGGCGCTACAATCAACGATGTTTATCGATTTCAAGGATAATTTAAATTAGATTTAAAACAAAGCAAAATATTAAATTTAATCTGAAATTTAAGCTGAAAATTAAGCCCTGCCCAGGCGTGGACGTGTATATACGTTTTTACAAAATAATTTAATTCATAAAATGGCAGACGGAATAACTCTGTACATTAATATTTACAAATAAAGGTAATTTTGCTATATAATTCTAAATAATTTCATTCATAAAATGCCAGAAAAAGTAAAAAAAAGTAATTTCATTCATTTATATGTGCAAATTATTTGTGAATTTTAAAAATTAAAATCTTTTTATTAAAATAAAATCAAAATAGGTTTTCCATTTCCCTTTAATTTTGGTAATAAAATTATATATCAAAAAAGGAAGAAAATGGTAAAGAATACTGTTTACGGTGAGACGCGTTTATGCGTCTTTGCCGAAAATTTCCAAAATATAATCTAAAGCAAAAAAATGAAAACACACACACACACACACACACACACACACACACACACACACACACACACAAATTTGAAATGGAAATGCAAGTTATTTTTCATAATCAGCATTTTTTTTCCAAAAAGGGGTTAAAACTAAAAAAAAAAAGCTTCTAGTTAGATTGTTAAATATTCATTTTAAACCTTAGATACCGCCAAACTTTGGTAGTACGCACGCTCCAAACACACACACAGACACAGAGACACACACAACACACACACACACACACACACACACACACACATATATATATATATATATATATATATGTATATCTGTGTGTGTGTATAAGTACATATGTGCGGTCACGCAGTTCTTCAGTCTGACTAGACGTCCGATCTGATTGCTTGATTCAATTCGCACTTGGAGAATAATGCATTAAGGCGCATATATATATATATATATATATATATATTGTAACCCGGATATAAGAGAGATTTTCTCTGGTCCCAAATTAGAGCCTGTGTTAATGCAAACAAAATAGACCAAACCCGGATATAAGAGACTTCTTCTCCGGTCCCGACAACTGTCTTATATCCGGGTTACACTGTATATATATATATATATATAGTCAGAAAGGCTTCATTCAAAGTTTGATTATTCAACT